GTTGGAAACCCTATCTGTAACAGTAACATGCTCATTAAAGTAATTTCTGGGATCTGGGAACATGGTTGCATTAATAAAACACAATCAGACTGGTTAAGAAACTCGAGCAGTAAGATGATGGTTGGAAATAGGCCATCAGTCTGTTCATATTATTTTAACCACTTTATTTGCAGAAAGCACACCTAAAATGTTGGTAACAGTCTTTCATTGTACAGAAAAACCTTGTGCACATAACAAAGGTAAGAGCAGCTGGACAAGGTTGAGGCAGGAAGTGAGTCTGTAAAATGTGATGGATGTTTACAGCAGACAGTTTGGGCAATAAACTTACCACTCACCTTAATTTGATTTCCCCCCTTTACTGACTTGTAGTTTGCAATTAAGGTAATTCACTTAACTGCAGGATACTGGAAGGGATGACTGTTAATAAAAATAATGATTATATTTATGATTTATAATTAATAATAGTGACTTGACTTCAATAATTTGGGAAGCAAAAGGTTAATAACCATATTGTCTTTTATTGGATGCATCTGTACAATCCAGTCCAATATATTTATCTTTGATAAATCTTAGAAAGCCTATAATATGTCTAGACGCTGTGTTAGAGAAGTGTTCATTTAACTCTGTAGGCACTGTTGAGGTTGATAGTCTGTGGTGGTGTTAAACTGGAATGCAGCTGTCAATAAAATGCAGTTTAATACAGTACAGCTAGGTGCAGCCTCCAAAAAAACCTAGGGCTATCAAAACAACACGTAAATTTTAAATTTAAAAAATCAACACTGATTAATCACGTTTGATGGTGCCCCTTGTCCTGGTGCGTCATTGAAGGCCACAGTGGCTTTGTTACATTATGGAGGCAGACAAGATGATGCAGCCCTGACTGGAACATTTAGCCTACATTTAAAAAATGCCCAGATTGAACTGTTGATAGGAGCACCGTTCTCTGCAGTTGTGACCATTGTCTCCAAAATCCAGCAGCTTTACTATGACAAATCTGCCAAAATTAATTTCAATTGAAAATTTTTAAGTGCTTTCACAGCAAAAAATGATGCATTCATATTTTTTTAAGCGCTTGACAGCTCTTAAATAAACACAAAGTTTAAATGACACCTCTATGACACAGTGTCACAACTTCCTTAAGTAAAATCTTCACAGAAAATTCTACTGGTGTCTCAGGTTATAAAGCTGCCTGTTTTTTGTTGTCTTGCCTTTCATACTATCTGAACAGAACATATTCTTTACATATTTGTTTTGAGGGTTGTTTCTTTTTTTCACTGTGTCGCAGTGTGTCGTATCCTCATAAAACGGTTCGAATGATATCTTACAAATTAGTGCCCCTACTAGTTAGGTTGGGTTTCGGAAAACAATTATGGTTGGGCTGTGTCACGTTACATACGTCACATTATGCAGAGTAACAAAATGTAAGATAACGTAACATGAGGTAACATAAAGGAAACTCAAGTAATGTAACATAACGTGACATCATGTGACAACATAACATGAGGTTATGTACTTCCTCCTTTGATCCCGACAGCCTACATCGTATTGGTCGTGTGATCACAGCCTCCTGGCTCACAATTACATGGGTTATATACATACAAATTATAGTGCATTACTTTTTGTAGGTATAAGTACGAACAGTGGGTAAGAACAGCCTTCACACATTTACTCCCTGTTCACATACAGATACAGAGACACACACACACCTGTATGATGGGAGGAAGGCTCCCAGATGGAGAGTCAGCATGGCATCATGCCGCCAGGGAATGTCTCCACAGTTGAGCAACAGAAGGCCGACTGCTGCAGCAGGGTTTAAATTTAGATCCTTGCCTGGCAGCACTCAACTCAACTCCTGTCTCTGTTTCCCTCTGCTTCTCTTCATGTTTTCTCTGGATAGGAATCAGTACAAATCTCAGGCTCCTTTTTCTGGATGTCTGTATAGTGCATGTTGTCACTTTCCTCCCCTACTAAGTCCTACTCCTGGTCCTGCTGCTATTTTGTAGTTTGTAATCTGTGCAGACTTTACTTGGTATATTTTGGCAACAGTATAGTCAGCACAGTGGCTCGGTGGTTAACACTGTCACCTCACAGCAAGAAGTTCCTGTGTTTTAATCTTAGCTCTTGATCTTTTGTTTTCTCTAAGGGTTTGGAACTTTCCGCCTATATTTCTGTTGGTTTTCTACCACACAAAAAAGCTTGCAGGTTATACGGTATATAAAGCTCAAATTGTAGTTTGTGTTCACATAGCTGCAAGTTTCTTCATGAAATTATGTCAACTGCCCATGTCTGCAGGGTTTACCCAGACATCTTGCCAGATGCCTTTGTGCTACCAGAAAATTTAGGCCCACAGCTATTTTCATAGCTTTCCTTCATCCCTATCAGTGATAATAATAATGTACTCACCAAGTTGCTAAGATCTTAAAACTTGCAACATCGCTAAAGATATGTGATGGGTAAAGAAACATGAGTAGTCATTCAGACAGGTTGGTTACCTCAAGTTTGGCTAACCCCCAGGTATGTCAAACGTGGGGTGTAGGAGCCATGGATACATACCTTAGTGGTGTATTTCCCTGGTAACTTTATTTACCCTCCCCCTGGTTTGCTATTTTTCATGTCTGCTTTCATGTCTCTCTGGATTTGTTGTTTTTGTGTTAAAGTATACCCCCTATGTTGGTGAAGGGATTTTGAAACTTATTAAGCCATTACTCTGGGCTTATAGTAAATGGGTCATAGTAGAGCTATGGAACCTCCACAGGTAGCAGCTGTAGCTACACTGTAGTGACATGTACAGTGGCTACCATGAGGAGAGCACAAGAATTATGATTGGTCAGCTTGGTCTGCTTTTGTTTTCTCCTCCACATTTCTGATGCTCATGGAGGTTGTAAAAAGTGAAGACAACGTTAAGAACATCTCAGTAATCGTCTTGTCAGCAACAAGTTAACAAAAACATCTCCACTAGAAACCTTTTGCTTACCTTATCGCTACTGTATTTCACAGCAAAAGTTAAGTATTTTACAGCAAAGTCAGACTGTTGTCTCCTACTCTAATGAGGCAAAATTTGAGTGTAACTCCAGTTCTGTAAGGACATCACTCTTCTGTATCTCACAAAGTGAATAAAAGAATATAAACACAGTTGGAGATTTCAGTGTGAGAAATCAGACTTAAAATCTAAACTTATAGCAGAGATGTCTATGGCAGGACAGCCTTTAACCCCTTGCATCAACTATAAACCAAGTTTAAGACAATAAATTTTGGGTTTTCTTATCATTTGTCACCATTCTCTACATGCATTCCTTGCAACAGCCTGCTCATCACTCTACCCAGAGCTACCTCCTCTCCCACCTGCCATGTGAGTTTCTGTCATTAGACACGCTACACTAGATCCAGACTTCAGAAACTGTTCCACAATAACTAGATACATAAGGACTCATCAAACATTTCTGGTAAGGAAGTTTTGTATCTCCTCCTAAAAATTGAATCAAGGGAGTTTTTAAGCAGCACTGGGACCATGAGGCAGGTTTTTAAAAGTCAGAAATCTCAGTACCCCGCCAAGTCCTTGCAAATAAACCAGCAGGTGATATATTTTGGCCCTCACGACACAATGGGGCTGGTAAAACCTTATTTAATACTTGATATATTTCAATAATCAATTTGGGAGTTTGTGCTTTCATAAAGCCAGTGTTTACTTTCTTCTTATCCATGTTGTCTTTGCTCAATCTTACCGCCACAGCCAAGTTTCCCCACAGGCTTTGGTAAATTAAATCTACTCTCAATTTCATTTCCTGCCTCTCTGTGTCTTCTGTCTGGTTCCCTACCTGTCTGTCTCTGCCTCTCCTCCTACGTTTTCCTGACTCAAGCTGGGCTTCATCACCAGTCATCTGTGACTCAGGAACTTTCCATGAGTCATGACACACACCAACCACAAACACGCTGCATGACTTCTCTGCAGTCTTCACCATGGCACAAATTCAACTGTGTTCATTATTTTTTAGCATACGCTCTGTTACATAATTCCAGTGACATGAACGATAGTCAAGTGCAGTGATATGAGTATTGTTGTCAAGATTTCTTGTATTTTTAACACCATTAATTTGTGTCAAAGTTCATAAAAGTTGACGTGTACATTAAAGCATCATAGAAATTTACATTTCCTTTGCAAGTGAATACACTGATGGCCAGTAATGCTGAAATTGAAAAGTGGCTGATGGTATGCCACCAGTGATTCATATGCTGATAGTATATGCCAATCCGCAGCGGCATTGGCCCGTCCCTCAGCGGCTTAAGCCTATCCCTCAGCTGCATAAGCCAATCCCAGGGTCAGTATGCTGCTCGTGTTCCACCAGCACTCACAGTTTTCAAATGTTTGGAAACTGTAGGTGGATGTGAAACATGAGCAGCATACCACTCCCAGAATTGAACGATGTCGCTGAGGGGTTGGAATATGCCGCTAAACCTGTAGTGGCATAACATCATCTACTTTTTGATCTTGGCACAACTGCTGATTGCAGCAATCCCATTGATAGAAACTGATTTTGATCTGTATTTTTATTGTAATGAACTTTTCAAAGAAGCTAAATTAGTTGTGCACATCAGGAACTGTCATTCTGTTGTTTCTTGCTACAGAAATATGTGAATCAACTGAACCACATCCGTTAATAGGCATTGTTACTTGTATAATAATAGCAAAGAGACTGATTGACTTCTATTCCCTCAACCTGTCTGTCCAGTGTTATATTTCTGGAAAGGTCTCAGTTATGAGGACAGAAAAACTAAGGTCCCTGAGAACTGATTCCCTAACACTGTCTCCTACAAATAAGGTTCATATACGGCTAATTTGCATTAGTATATGTTTTCTAGGAAATGTAATGCTACCCAAAGGTATTGTTTTCAGCATAAGGAGGAAACCTTTATATTAAAAATATTGCAAAAATGATCAGTCAATGATCTCTTCTTTCCTCCCTCTCTTCTCTTTCTGTTTGTCAATTCCCCTCATGTTTCAGGTTCACATCACTGTTATGGACAACAACGACAACGCTCCCATCTTCTCCCAGCCTACCTATGATGTCACCATTTCTGAAGACACACCACCTGACACTGAGGTGGTCCAGGTTCTGGCATCAGACCGTGATGAACATCACAAGCTGACCTACTCTTTGCAGAGCTCCATAGACCCCAGTAGCATGCGTCTTTTCCGCATCCACCCCACCCTGGGCACCATCTACACTGCTCAGAGACTGGACCATGAAGCCTGTGCCCAGCACATCCTCACTGTCATTGTAAGTCTTTGTCTCTGCCAATTACCTATATTTGGGATCTTGTGCTAACAGCTGAGACTCTCTGAACACCTCAGTTTCCACTGAGAAGGTCCAGTCTTGTCTGCATTGTTGTGTTAATAGAATTATAGTCTCATCGTGAGGTCATTTGGTTATTCATCCGGATAGTTTCTAGGCTGGTAAGTGCAACAGGCAATTATAGCTGCAAGCTATAATTAGTTGACATACTGCAGAACAGGGGAATCACCAAAAATACTCTGGAATTTCTATTCCTGTGCAGTTGAGAGAATCCTAACGTGAATATCACTGCCTGTTACTGAAACAGGACCAGGACCACAAGGACCTGCAAAGAGTAGTTGATTCAGCTGAACATACAACAGGCACTGCTCTACCCTGCCTAAAGGATGTTTACACCAGGCGCTGCAAAAATAAGGCCAGGAAAGTCATTAAGATCCCAGCCTCTTTCTGCTGAGGTCAAGAAGATGAAACCAGTTACACCAGGCTGGCTGGGGAGAGATTCTACCCTCAGGCCACAAGAATATAAATGAAGACACTGTTTAAGACTGTCCAATCATATATTCATTATTACAGTCCTTTTTTAATACACAAATTACATTACATTACATTTCACTGAAATTGTATGTTATTTAATGTGATGTCAATATGTACCTCTTTGGGCTCACAGTATAGGTTTTGATATGTTTTCAGCATAGCACGGAAAACAAAAGAAGCACAGAAGATACAATTTTGTTTATATGTTATATTTTTTCCATAATTCTTAGTGTAAAAAGGTGGCCCATGGGCAATAAAAAAAAAAAATCAAATATCAAATGTCACTACCATTAATTGTAACAAAAGATTTAACCTGGCTGTTCTTGAATATTAAAAAAAATGTAGATATTTGTCCATCAGTACAAGCACAGCACATCATTTACTGATTATTAAAGTATGCAGTGCAGTTTAAAACCCAGTTTAGAAGCTCTCTGCTATCCAGGAGGCCTATCCATTGGTGGCGAGACTGCCAGGGCATTGGATAATTCCTAGATGACAGCAGCTTGTGCCTGTCTTTATGTTTCACATGTAAAGGAACATAATAAAGGGGCTCAGTCCCTGTAATAGATGCATACTGTGAAGCTTTCGCAAATAGTTTAATCATGTGTCAGCTTGAGTGTTTGTGTTTACTTAGAAGAGCCATAGCAGGGAAAACAAAAGAAATAGGGAGAGTAACATTTCATTTCATGCTATTTATTTTTGCCATAAATCCTAATGTAAAAAACAGTGGCATATGGACCATAGGAAAAACCAAATGTCAATATCTCAGTATTGTTCAAAAGACTCTAACCTGCATATTTAGAATGAACAACAACTGTTGTACAGTTGTCCAACTGCCAAAAGTTTAGAATTTATGTTTTGCATACGCTAGGATCTAATTGTGGTGTATCAGGCTAATTTGACAGCAATTATTTGCTACGCATGGTGTACTGTACCAAAGAAATTAGTGCATCAAACCAAGGATGGCTTCATAAATATAATTTTAATCACATGATATGTTGTACAGTATATATAGTTGCATTTTAATTTGTAATCATTCAAGACTAATTAAAGCTTTTTAATATCTAGTGGTCTAAGGCACTAAAGCGCTCATGGCTGAACCTGATATACTGTTATCATACCAAAGAAAGGTGATTTGTTTCATTTGACAAACACCTGGAAAGTGCAAGGATTTTATTATGTAGTTTTAGTGGTGTACATAAGCTGCCACATTAACTCCTTCTCACTGTCTAGTGTTGCTTTTTTCTAAGGATATTGATTTTCTAAAAAACACATTCAAACAGTACATCAAGGTTAATTGAGTCTTTTACTGAATTACCCAGTGTTTTCATCAGGGAATGTTTTGATTTAATGTTAAAGGCTGTCTTAAAATCAAGAAACTTATTGGGTGTGAATGCTAGAAGCATTTTCTAATTCTTTATTTGGCATTCTATGACTTTTTAATTGTTCTTTATTGCATTCATACTGTGATTTTTAACTTATTCTTATTTCACCAACTTCTTCTGTATGTTTTTTGGTCTAGTCTGGTTAACTAGTTCTGCATACTTTTAGCTACAGAAGCTGTTCAAATGTCAAAATGTTAACTATGTAAAGATATTTAAGCTTTAAGCTTGAAGTTACTTTTTTATACTCGTTAAGTATTCAGCTTTTTCTAACAAATTTTTATAATGGGTGTGAATGGACAGAATGTACAAACCCTCTTCAAACATACTCCAATTTGACCAACTATTTATTATTAACTTCAACTATTTCCGCATACTTTCATCTACAAAAACCATTTAAACTTTAAATTATGGACTTTTGAATTATTTGAATTATTAAATGTACACTCAGCTTTTTGATATGCTTTACAGTTTTTTAATTATTGGATTTTAAGTAATCTGTTTTCAGTCCTTTTCTAAGCTTATAATGAGTGTGTATTGGACAGAATGTTCAGAGCTAGAGTGGATGACAACACAACTAGAGGGGGGAGGAGTTGTAAAAATATATATAGATATAGATATATATATATATATATATATATATATATATATGTATATATATGTATATATATTTCGAAAACATGGTCCCAGTCCCACAATTTACACTCTTCATGCACAATTTTAATGTCAAAATGTAAATGGATAGATAGATAGGTTTTTCAGCAGTGCAATGCATTTGAGCTTTCAGATTTTTCGGGCAGTTTGTTTCATATTTCTGCGTTTTCAGCAATGCTTTGAGATGCATTTTAGTTGTCAGCATTTACATGTATTTTCCTCAAGTAGTGCATTTTCTAGTTGATTATTGGCCTTGAATGGTCAGAACAAGATGATCCCTTTTAAAGTAGAAATTTCTCAGGGGGAAATAGTTCCCAAGTCTTTCTGTTTCTTATGTAGAGCAGCAGGAGAGCCTAAAGCAATCTTCAAGTCTGTACTCTTATTCAACCTAAACTCATCATTTAACAATTAAGCTAATTACCATGCAATGAACCAGTATCTACACATCATCAGAGGAGAGGAGAGAGAATCATTTTAGACTGATTTGCGTATCTAATAGTAGACTACTCTTATCAAAAATGTGAAAGTTGGGGAAATACATGTGGCAAAGGAAAGTGGAAAAGTGAGAGTTCTGAGACCTGTACTATGAAGCAGGATTTGGAGTTAGAGAGGTAACTTCAGGGTTAACTCTGGGTTTTCAGTACTACGAAGCTGGTTCTCTTTTTACTGGGATAAATCAACTTATGCTGAACAGTTAACCTTCTCCAGAGCAGGTTAACCTCAGGGTATCGGATCACAACCTGTCAACATCCCAAAATCTGACCAATCAGATCACTGAAGAACAAAGTATCCATGAATGAAAGTCCGGGGTGACAGGTAAAAAAAAGAGGAGCCTATATACTGTTAGAGGTCAGTAGAACCATTTAATATTTCCAGGGCTTTATTTCCACTGGTTTTAAAACAGAGCTTCTAACAAACGGAGAGATCAATTACAACACTAAACACATGATTTTAGCACTATTTGAAATTATTAAGTTTATTTTAGTCCACAGTGATCGCTGACAGTGGTGCTACTTTTACACTTTTCCATCACTGCAGCTCAAAATAACATGAGACACATTTGTGATGGGAACTGGGATAAAAACAGATATTTTTTTGGCTCCCGTTATTATAAATGTAACATTTCGGTCAGATACACCTCATTGGTCATTAACTACTTTTCCACTCGATAGTTCAGTAGCAGAAACAGTCTGGTGGTACTTGAAAGTTTTTAAGTGACATATTCACTCAGAGATGTTTCATCATCATCCAAGCTCAGTGATACCTGCGCATAATTTAAGTCTCGGAGGAATTTTTGACAGTGTTTTCAATGTTTCTAGATTTTCCACTTTAAGAACACACAGTCTTGTTTTTATCCCATGCCACCGACATTTTACTGTCTCGTAATTGCAGACACTACTGTTATCGTTTCATCACATATCATATGAAGCAGTCTACTTCATTCATGGTTCTGATGATGACGCTCGCAATATACACCCCCACCCCTTTCACATGAACATGCTCGTGGCTGGATGGGAAAAGTCAGAGTTGGCTGAACTAGTTAATAACCAGCTTCGTAGTACCGGTTATCCAGATGGCCAATTTTAGGGTTAGTCAAACCAGATAGCGAGAAGGTATCCTGGGTAAGTTGAACTGGCTTCGTAGTACAGGCCTCTGGTCTATTGATATTTTGCCTTTTGTTTTTGTGTTTGTTGTATTTGGTCAATGATGTCACTGGGCACATTTGAGATTTTACTATTTTAATGATCATCAGATATTACTCTGTTCATAGTGAACATAAAGGATGACTTTTTTGTGGTTTGTTTCTTTTCTTCGTAGGTGAAAGACCAAGAGTTCCCATACAGAAAGAACCTAGCTCGTGTGCTAATAGAAGTGGAAGATATAAATGACCATGTACCCATCTTTACCAGTGCTCTGTATGAAGGCTCAGTCTATGAGTCAGCAGCAGTGGGATCAGCTGTGGTCCAGGTCACTGCCCTGGACAAAGACAAAGGCGAGAATGCAGAGCTACACTACTCCATTGAAGCAGGTAGGCACCTCTGAAAGTTAGAAATTTGCTCTTTTATGTTACAGTATTTAATACATTATTGCCCTTAAAATAACTACCCAATTAATAACAATGTTTTTTGATTTTTCAACAGGGAACACTGGAAATGCATTCCATATTGAGCCAGTTTTGGGTATCATCACTGTTGCACGTGACCTGGACTTGTCAAGCATAGGACATTATGTTCTCACTGTCAGAGTCACTGACAATGGCTCCCCTCCACTGTCCACCACCACTGTAGTGCGAATTGCGGTCACCCTCTCTGACAACGCTGGCCCAAAGTTCCCTCAGCCTGAGTACCAGGCTGAAATCGCAGAGAACGCTGTTATTGGGACCTCCGTCACCACAGTCAGTGCAGTTAGCCAGTCCACCCTCACTTATGACATCAAGCACGGCAACACAGAGCGTGTTTTTCAGATAAATCAGTACAGTGGAGTGATTACTACTCAAAAGCCTTTAGACTATGAGATGACAGCATCGTACACCTTGATAGTCCAGGCTGCCAACATGGCTGGCATGGCCTCCAATGCTACTCTGTTAATCCAGGTAGTGGATGAGAATGATAACCCACCAGTTTTTCAGCAGCTACACTATCATGGCAGCATCAGCGAGGCAGCACCAGTCAACAGTGTGGTCTTGAACTCAGATGATTCACCTCTGGTAATCAAGGCCACTGATGCTGACCGCAACCAAAATGCTCTATTGGTTTACCAGATAGTTGAGGACACTGCAAAAATGTTCTTCACTGTAGACTCAGGAACTGGCTCTATCAGAACCATTGCTAATCTAGACCATGAGACATTTGCCACCTTCCACTTCCATGTTCATGTGAGGGACAATGGCAGGCCACAGCTAACAGCAGACAGTCCAACTGAGGTCACAATACAAGTGATTGACACAAATGATTCACCACCTCGCTTCACCCAGAATGCCTATGAAACAGTTTTGTTACTCCCCACCTATGTGGGAGTAGAGACTTTGCAGGTTTTAGCCACAGACCCTGACAAAGATGCCACTACAGAGCTCACCTACTCTCTGACTGATGGAGTGCTGGAGCACTTTGCCATCAAACCTTCCAGTGGAGTCATCACAGTTAAACACAACAACTTCTCCAAAGAACGTTTCCGCTTTAGTGTCAAAGTTTCAGATGGGAAATTCTCCAGCACAGCTTTGGTGACCATTCTTGTCCGAGAGGCTCTGGACTCTGGTCTCAGCTTCACTCATAGCCTTTATTCTTCATCTATTCAAGAGAATGTATCAAATATCACCAAAGTGGCTGTGGTCAATGCTGTGGGAAACCGTCTCAATGAACCACTGAAGTACACCCTGTTGAATGCTGGCACACGCTTCAGAATCCGTCCAACTTCTGGCGTAATCCAAACCACAGGTATACCGTTTGACCGTGAAGAGCAAGAGTTCTATGAACTGGTTGTTGAGGTGAGAAGGGAGCATGACCGTCTGCACGTGGCCAGAGTTATGGTTAGAGTCCAAGTCGAAGACATAAATGATAATGCCCCTGTGTTTGTTGGACTTCCTTATTATGCAGCTGTTCAAGTAGAAGCTGAGCCAGGATCACCCATTTTCAGGGTCATGGCAGTAGATGGTGACAAAGGGATTAATGGAGAGGTATCTTACTATCTCAAGGACGACCATGGTCACTTTGAGATCAACCGGCAGACAGGTGGTCTCAGCCTTAAAAGGGCTTTTGAGTCTGACTTGTCCAATGTGGAATACCAGATGGTGATATATGCAAGAGATGGTGGTTATCCACCTCTCTCATCTAATATAGAGTTCCCTATCACAGTGGTCAACAAAGCCATGCCTGTCTTTGACAAATCATTTTATTCTGTTTCTGTGAATGAGGATGTGGCTGTGCACACACCTATCCTTGGCATAAATGCCACTAGTCCTGAAGGTCAAAATATCATTTACACTATTGTTGATGGAGACCCGTCTCTTCAGTTTGACATTGGTTTTGATACTGGGGTCATAAGTGTAATCCACTCTTTGGACTATGAAGCAGCATCATCTTACCACCTGACCATCAGAGCCACAGACTATCTGACTGGTGCCCGTGCTGAGGTTGATGTAGATGTGGTTATCCAGGATGTAAATGATAACCCACCTATCTTCCAGAAAATGTCTTACAGGGTTGTTTTGTCTGAAACAGCCATGATTGGAACTCCAGCACTTCAAGTTATTGCCACTGACAAAGACTCAGAGAAGAACAATGTTGTTCGTTACCAAATTTTCTCAGATGTGCATAACAGCACAGACTACTTTCACATTGATAGCAGCAGTGGATTAATCCTGACAGCACGTATGCTAGACCATGAACTTGTCCAGGAGTATGACTTCATTGTCAGGGCCACTGATAATGGCTTCCCACCATTGAGTAATGAAGTATCAGTCATAGTTGTGGTGAATGACATGAACGACAATCCTCCAGTTTTCAATCAGCTACTCTATGAGGCATATGTGAATGAGTTAGCACCTAGGGGTCACTTTGTAACCTGTGTACAGGCCTCAGATGCTGACAGCTCGGATTTTGACAAGATGGAATACAGCATTTTGTCAGGGAATGAAAGAATGAACTTTGTGATGGACAAAAAGACAGGAATTATCACATTGTCCAGCCACCGTAAGCAAAGAATGGAGCCTACCTATAGCCTCAATGTTTCTGTATCTGACGGGGTGTTCACCAGCACTGCACAAGTTCATGTTAAGGTGTTGGGGGCCAACCTGTACAGTCCAGTGTTTGGACAGAATATGTATGAGGCAGAGTTAAGAGAGAATTCTGCTGTCGGAACCAAAGTTATACAAGTAAGTGCTATTGAAATCAATTGATTTTTTTTCTGATGTATAATTTCCCAGAAATAAAATTGATACCATATTGTGAGTATACACTATGGATATCTGTATTGACTTACACATTTATTTATTTATTTTTATCTCAGGTGAAGGCAACAGATGCAGATCCTGGAATGTTCGGACACATCACTTATTCTTTTGTTAATGATGTGGGAAAGGACCAATTTAGCATTGATGCAAATGGTCAAATCACCACTGTGGAAAAGCTTGATCGTGAGGACCCGGCCAATAAGGACATCATTCTAACAGTGGCAGCCCATGACTCAGGTGGACGTGTTTCTTACTGTACAGCACAAGTTACTCTGTTGGATGATAATGATAATGTACCTCGCTTCCGTGCTACAGAGTACCGAGCTTCAGTCAAATCTGATGTGGCTAAAGGTTTTTTGGTGACACAGATTCAGGCTTATGATCCTGATGATGGCAGTAATGCAAAAGTGACATATTCACTCTACAGTGAGGCACATGTTCCTGTGGTGGACATTTTGGAGATAGACCCAGACAATGGTTGGATGGTGACTAAAGGCAGCTTTAGCCACTTGAGGAACTCTGTATTATCGTTTTTTGTGAAGGCTGTGGATGGAGGAAATCCAGTCCGGCACTCTCTAGTGTCTGTCTACATCCATGTTCTTTCCCCAGATGCCTTCATTCCTTCATTTAGCCAACATCAATACTTATTTAGCTTGCCAGAGGACACCCCCATAGGTTCAGCCATAGGGACAGTGCGCCTCAACACTTTTCCTGGATATGCCTCGCTCTCTGCTACCTTTGCTCTGGTCAACGGAGAGACTGGAGAAAACAACCAAGATGGGGTGTTTGTGGTGGAAAAGGATACAGGTGTGATCAAGCTTGATAAGCCCTTGGACCATGATGTGATAAAAGCATACCATTTCAAAGTCACTACCACTATAAAACAGGCTAAGCTGGATTCTGTGACCTCTGTTGAAGTTGAAGTCAAAGTGTTGGATCTAAATGACAACAAACCAGCATTTGAGGCCGACTCTTATGAGGCCACAGTTATGGAAGGCATGCCAGTTGGAACCAGAATCATTCAAGTCCAAGCACTAGACCCAGACTCAGGGGCCAATGGCCAGGTAACATACAGTCTTGGGGCATTAATCCAGTCAGAAGGGGATTCAGACATGTCAGTTGGCACCTTTAGCATTGACAGCAACACAGGCTGGATCTCCACATGTAAGGACCTGGACCATGAGACCAATCCATCCTACACATTCACAGTGGTAGCCTCAGACCTTGGGGAGACCCTGTCTCTTTCCAGTACCACCACTGTGACTGTAGCAGTGTCAGACATTAATGACAACCCGCCCAGGTTCTTGGAACAACACTACTTTGGTTCAGTTCAGGAGAGTGACCCGCCAGGCGAGGTAGTGGCTGTGTTGAACACAAGAGATGATGACAGCTCTGCTGTTAACCGTCAAGTCAGCTACCATATCACTGGTGAGTACCACTGTATATGACATTACAATTGTATCGGCAGACAAGAACGTTACTATTAGACAATTCTACAAAACCCTGGATCATGTCCAATTAATTTTTTTTATGCAATGCCAATGTTTTTATAGGTTTTGCTTCCCACAATATCTGTGTATGACAACTTCATATACTTTATGGTATAGTTTTAGAGAAGTATTGTCATTATGTCATATAAACTATAGTTAAGAAATGGTTTAGGGTGGGCAACTAAAACAGTTGGTTATGGTTAGGGACAGGTCATAGCTATTGATGACAAGGTGAATGGAAATTGCAGGTGTTTAATGGGATGTAACCCCTGGTGTACTACATGAAAAATATGACACCCACATGCTCATCATCCACCCTGATCTCAACACCCTTAATTTTTGCTTTGCTACATGGAGAGCACACAATTTACTGCATTAGTACTGAACTTTGGTGTTGGTTATATAAATCATGAGGTGCAGAACTGTCTAATATGGACTGAATTCCTATGGATACTGGGCTGTGTATTGTGGCCTATCTGCCTGCAATTACAGATGGCTGAAAACCATTGTGTGTATCTCTGTCTTGTCCAGTGGTTTGCTCAAGATACAATAGTCATCAGACTTAAAAGTATTCCATAACTCTGAGTCCTAACCATTGCTACATACATGAATAAACATGAGGGGAGAAGTTGTACACTAAACTAGAAATTAGGGATGCACCGAATATTGGGTAACCAAATATATTCGGCCGAATATTGCAAAAAAACACACATTCGGTGGAATAAGTGAAAAGCAAGGCTGAATAATAGCGGCGTGTTTTGATGATGCAATTAAACAGCGTGCTGTGACGGATGGATTAAAATGTCGGCAGTGTGCCGATATTTCAAAGTGTTGGAGAGTGATAGAAGAAAAGTGGTTTGCAAAGAATGTAATACTGAACTATCTAGAGTTGTGTTGCAGGGTATACTGGTACCAATGGTAGACCGCGGTACGAAAACACCATCGTACATATGATACCATAATGTTTGAGTACCATAGTACTATGGTACCTCAGGTACCACTACTGTGGGATAAGTTCAAAGTCCAATCGCAAGAGGGTGAGTGTCCATGCGCCGTCCAATAACGGCGCGCTGGCCACCTGGCACTCGATATGCCGCTGCAGTGGTTTGTATCCAGTGACATTTCAGGTATTAGCTGAGCTATTGAGCATCCTTAAGCAGTGAAAGTTATTATTAATTTATTTTTGTTTATATATGCTACAGTGATTTGTTTTCCACCACAGAGCTCTACGGTGCGAGCATTTTACTCACATTTGCAACTAAAAATAGTTTTGTGCGAGCAAAAGAAATCATTCAGGAGCACGCTGTGCGAGTACAGATTTCAGCCAGCACAGGGCTTGACGCTAACTTTTTTCCCAAGGAGCACATGTGCTCCTAATTTGAAAAAGTAAGGAGCGCACAAAGAAATTTAGGGGCACAATGTAAATTGATCAAATAATGTGTTTTCCGTAATAAACGTGATGCAAATAGACATTTACAAGCAAAATTATTTAATGAATTTGTATACAAAATGTACAGAAAGGTAAAATCATCAAGTTTTGAAAAAGTATTGCAATTTAATTTTGTCTTTAATGTTATTATCTTATATATATTATCTTTGCAATATGATTATCTTATATAATGTTATTACTATCCTAAAACATTCTCCAGGTCCTCTGAAACTCTGCAGGACTTGAAACCTCTTTCACACAGAGCTTTCGCGGCGCCCACCGCGGGGTAGGGCGCAGAGGACAGGATTTGGAGTGCAGGCTCGTTCAGGAGCTACAGCTCCATGGTGACCGCTTCCGGGTCTACTTCAGGCTCTTCTCTGCTATTGGATGCGCAGCGCCGAGGTGTCGTCACAGCGCGTTGTGGTGAAATTAAAAAAATTTCAATTCGAGCGCAGGCTGACGGCACGCAAACACTCGCGCGCCGCTCAACTCGCCGGCAGAGCGGTGCACTCTTGCCCTGCGGTAGTACATACACAATGAATGGGTTTGTCGGCGGAGGTCTGCGCTTTGCGCGCTCTGTGTGAAAAGGGCTTTATTTCCACCCTGCCCAGCAGCAGTACCGTGGCAAACAGTCCCTAAGGCCTCTACACATGATCAGCTGTAAAACCACTTTGCGCTGGCTGTCCCATTGTTTGTCTATGGAGAGGGCAGCAACGCTTGACAAAGCGGTACCGCTACCCTTGGCGTCGCACACCGCTCTGATTTTCCGCCTGAGCGCTGCGCTCAGAGTTGAAATTATTTGAACTACGGGGAGAACGGAGCAGGCTTCCCCGGAGATCCACCCGGTCGATCTCCTCCACACTTTGACTTATTTCCACGCTGCCGACAGTGGGACTGTGCCGACAGTGGCTTGGAAAACCGCCCATAACCATGTCACACGGGGAAGAAGGAAGGCTGCTGGAGTTCCTCCAACATTTGCGGTTAGATTATCATATTTTTTGATTTTTTTATGCCGTTTTTGAAGTATGAATAAGTCAATAAGTAATTTATTCCATTGAAATATCAGTGATGTATTAGAAAAGTGATTTTTCTTTTTATAAATGACAAAAGGCACATCTGCCTCATTTTTGCTGTGGTATCGTGATACTACTCAGAACCGTGACACTTTCACTGGTATCGTACCATGGGTCCAAATTTTGGTACCATGACAACACTAATCTGGAGGGTGTTCATCTGCAAAAACGAATGAAAAACTAAACAACAGTGTTCGGTACTTGGTATTCGGCCAAGCGTTTAATTTTATTTTGCTTCGGCTTCAGCCACAAATTTTCATTTCGGTGCATCCCTACTAGAAATTGCATTTTCTGTAGAGAGCAAAAAAATCCCCTGTGACCCATGTCTCTGTCTATTATGATTTTTTTTTTAATCAAATGAGGTTTTATATTTGTAAAACTAAAAAAAAAAAGTGATTCAGAACTCATCATTACAATGTAAAGTCTATGGGCCAAGCAGGAAATCACATGTAGAGTCAGCAGGAGAAACACTACTGAATATACTCAGTGGACCTCATACCACAGAGATAAACCCAGAAGCTAGAAACATGTTTGGGCGTATGTACATACGTACTCAATTGGAATGAATAGGCACCATCATGGCATCTGGTGTCTAGCTATTATTATAAATCTATGGGTCCTAACTTCGAAGGAACAAGTACACGTACACATTCAGTAATATGGCTTGGAATACTTGTAAAATACATCTAAATCTGGCCTTTTTCCACGAAGAAAAATCACTGAGGTAAGGGTCAGGTAAAACACTGAGTGAAAACACTTGAATTAGTCTGAGTGAAGTGCAGCCACTCTATCTAAGGAGTGGTCTGATTATCTGAAGAGACAGAGAAGTCTAAACCATGAGACAGATGAAATGTTACTTTGAAAAAGTGATGATTCAAAAATGCTACTAAACACAGTGGTAGTAAGTAGCAGAACGGGTGTAGTAGTAGCAGTAGTAGTGGTTGAGTAGTACTAGTAGTAGTGATAGTAGTAGTAGTAATATAGTGGAAAAAGCAGCCGTAGAAGTATAGTAGTAGCGGCAGTAGCAGTAGTAGTAATAGTTTAGTAGTAGTAGTAGTAGTAGTAGTAGTAGGAACAGAAGCAATAGTAGTAGTAGTAGTAGTAGTAGTAGTATAGTGGTAGAAGCAACAGTAGTAGTGTAGTAGTATTAGTTGTAGTAGTAGTAGTAGTAGTAGTAGTAGTAAATTAGTAGTAGCAGTAGTATAGCTATAGAAGGGACAGTAGTAGTAGTAGTAGTAGTAGTAGTAGTAGTAGTACTAGTAGTAGTAGTAGCAGCAGGAGTAACAGTGGTTGTAGTAGTTTACAAGTAGCAGAAGAAGTGGCAGTAGTAGTATATTAGTAGTAGTAGTAGTAGTCGTAAAAGGAGAGGAGGAAGGCTTGTCCGTAGACAGAGAGAGAAGAGGAAAGGCGAGAGTCTAGAACTGAGAGTAGGGACTTTGAATGTTGGGACTATGGCAGGAAAATCTAGAGAGCTGGCTGACATGATGCAGAGGAGGAAGGTGGATATACTGTGTGTTCAGGAGACTAGGTGGGAAGGTAGCAAGGCTAGAAGTTTGGGAGCAGGGTTCAAGCTGTTTTATCATGGTGTGGATGGGAATAGAAATAGAGTAGGAGTTATCCTGAAGGAGGAGTTTGTTAGGAATGTTTTGGAGGTGAAAAGAGTGTCAGATAGGATGACGAGACTGAAGCTAGAAATTGAAGGTGTGATGTTCAATGTTGTTAGTGGTTATGCCCCACAGGTAGAATGTGAGTTAGAAGAGAAAGAGAAATTCTGGAGTGAGTTAGATGAAGTGATGCAGAATATCACTAGAGGTGAGAGAATGGTGATTGGTGCAGACTTCAATGGACATGTCGGGGCAGGGAACAAAGGTGATTAGGAAGTGATGGGCAGGTTTGGTATCCAGGGTAGGAACGCAGAAGGACAGATGGTGGTAGACTTTGCAAAAAGGATGGAAATGGCTGTAGTGAATACTTTGTTCCAGAAGAGGCAGGAACATAGGATGACTTAAAAGAGCGGAGGTAGGGGCACACAGGTGGACTACATCTTGTATAGACGCTGTAATCTCAAGGGGATCAGTGACTGCAAAGTTGTGGTAGGTGAGAGTGTAGCCAGAAAGCATAGGATGGTAGTGTGTAGGATGACTCTGGTGGTGAGGAAGATGAAGAGGACAAAAGCAGAGCAGAGGACAAAGTGGTGGAAGCTGAAAAAGGAAGAGGGTTGTGTGGTCTTCAGGAAGGAGTTGAGACAGGCTCTGGGTGGTCAGGAGATGCTCCCAAATGACCGGACAACTACAGCTAATATTATTAGAGACAGGTAGGAGAGTATTTGGTGTGTCATCTGGAAGAAAAGGAGATAAGGAGACCTGGTGGTGGAACAAGGAAGTGCAGGAGTGTATACACAGAAAGAGGTTAGCCAAGAAGACGTGGGACACTGAA